TCATGTAAAACTGAAACTAGCTAAACTTTTATACACACACACATTATTTTCTTTGTCATGTAAAACTGAAACTAGCTAAAGTGGCATAATTCAGACAAAAATTAATAAAAAAGTTTTTTAAAAGATTAACATAACCTTTGAATTTGACAAAAGTTTAACTTAGTATGTAAAGTTAATTATATTCTTCATAGAATGTGCGACTACACAAGACTAAACATAGTTAAAGTTTTGGATAAATTATTTCTATTTGATATACCTACATGGACTGAAAAGGACTTAAAAAAAGAGTATGACCTATTTTCAAAAATACATATATAATACCAACACCATTTAATCACCTGACACATTTCTCTCTGCCTCTTTCTTGTGTATATTTGAAACCTGTTCTGTAATGTTATATGATAACCAGTTGTTTATGAAAATAGAAAAATTCTTGAAATAGTTTCCAACATTCATATTCAAGAAGGAGAATCAATTATGATTAACCCTTTGAAATACATTACATATGTGACGTTCTTCTATACATACATATATATTTATATTAATTATACACAGTCACACACACACACACACATTTATGTATGTGTATATGTACATATCCTTGGATATATATTTTTCCCTTACAAGTTATTACATTCCATTTGTAATATTATTATACACACTAATTCACGTCAACAACAGCAGTGCCTCATTGTCTATGGGCCCACCGGTCACATACGCGTGTGTTATATGACACTATAATTTCTGATTTTCATGAAGATAGGTAAGAGGATACATTAAACGTCACGTGCATTTGTTTAGAAAGTAGGTCAACCATGGAAACACCGCAAAACAAGAAGATGTAGCTATATATATGTATATGCCTTTATAACTACATTTTCTACATATACATACATATATAGGTAGATAGACAGATAAATATATATAGATATACAAATGCACGATTGTGTGAATACGCTGCCAGTGTAACTGTCTTCAGTGTTTTACGTTTTCTGACAAAAACACTCATTCTCAACCGCTTCGCGCATTTAGCAGCGATATCAGGTAATATTCGAAACGTCCTTCAAGGCTCGAATGGTATCTGACTGAGCCAGTACTTCTCGAGAGACCCTCTGCGAACTTTATTATGCATCCTTTACATGCTATCTTTGCTTCTTGCTGCGCTACCGATAATTACCTCATCAAAATCAGCGATGCAAGATGCCGTAAATAAGTTTTGGAATGTGTGTGACCCTATTAGATTACTGAAATAAATACGCATGCACACTGAAATAAGAAGGCTGACATTAATTGCATCCTTCCCACCCGTCCCATAATTCTTTGTAGTGATTTAAAGCCTTTGTCCTCTTAAAACTGGTACTTTCGCTGTGCATGAGGAGTTTTGTAGATGTTTGTGAAGAAGAATGTTTTAATCATACCAGTCCTTTATAGAAGCAACTCGGCGAGAATCCACGTCTCAGTGATTTCTGGTGGAATCAGAAGCATTCTTCGAGTAACTTATGTGATATGTTGTTGTTTAAGTGTATATTTCACGTGCTTTATAGTTTACGTCTCTCACCAGTTATGCACTTAAGATTGTATAGTGATTAGATGTGTTGTGGTCGTGGCATTACGACGAGGTTTGTTTCCTGTAGCATCATCTCTTGTTCAGGATTATACAATTAATTATTTCTCCAGAAAGTTAACCTGTTTGGAACGATAATAATAATAGGCACGAACATATCTTTATTCAATCTGTTTTACACTGGTATTACTATAGTACCAACTGCATATCATCCAGTTAGATATCGGTTAATAGTAAGATGGATAAAGCTCGGTTTTAGAACAAAAAGTGCGTGTTCAACCTTAAGGAATAATTGATTTGTCAAAAAAATAGCGCTTTTCAAAGAATTTGTTGTGTGAATTACACTGTGACGGCTTATGTACTCAGTATTAGTTAGATCTTTCTGTAGACAAAATCAAAAAGGCTTGCGAGCTATTAATTCGTGAGTCGGTTATCTTCCTTGGATAAATCTACATTAACACCAGAATCCTGAGCCACTGTTAAACAAGATGGCGGATATTTATCGCTATCACCACCATTTCTACTACACTGGCTCCGGTCGATCTCTTCCACATAGCTGTCATTGCCGAAAAAAACGCCATCGTTCTCCGCCTATCACTCAACCTTCTCGGCCTTGTCCTCTTCATCCCTGTCGGAGGAGCCATAGCTGTGAGTGGATCACTGACAGGAATAAGAGTTATACCCTTAAACAACTTGTAAGTTACGTAGTCTTTGTAAACGTCAAGATTAAGCCTAAAACTACGTGTGTGTGTGTATAAGATAATAAAATTTCTAGTATAAATTCACAAGAACATGTAAGTTATTTTAAATATGTTTAAATTGTTTTAAAATAATATTATACACGAATAGCTGAGAAAATGCGATGTGAACTCAAGCCCCATTATAGTATATGCTAATTGAACAGAAGAATTGCTCATTGAAACTATAATTTTCGTTTGTAATTTGATACTTGCTTTAGTGAAAATTTCTTTAAATTTTCCAGCTTATTTTTAGGATATTATGAACTTTAAATAAAATGTAATAACACATTGTACAATGCTTTAGCAAAGCTAAATGATCAATGATACGACAAATGAGTATGATAGCAAAAGATGGAAGCGCCATCTGAAGGGATTATGTTACACTTTAGAATTCCCTTTTCTCACTTCCATAGCTCAAACAAGAGTTAAGTTAGTTTTATATTTTTAAAGTATACTTGTGGAAATATTTGACCCAAAGTTTTTCTGCGAAATACTTTAATCACCTTTCAGACTGTAATCCGTTGAAAGTGTTATTGGTCTCAAATATCGTATTTATGTTTTATTCGGATTTGTAAAATTGGCAGTCCTATAAGTGAATATTTTTACACCGATGTTTGATGACTTCGATGCATCCCCGCAACCTATACACTGTAGTTTTTGTAACATGAATCTTTATATTGTTTGAACTTTCACCCGTGATCTATTGGTTAGCATGTCCGAACTGTGAATCCGAGAGTTCATGGTGCGCATACTGTTGCTGCTAAAATGCGTTCTGCACTATGGGGCCGTGGGTAAGCTATAAGTATGATGGTCAAATCCCACGATTGGGTCAGACAAGAGTAGCCTAAGCATTGGCGGTGGGAACTGTCGACTAGTAGCCCTCCCTGAAATTAATCAGTTCAAAATTAAGGACGGTTACAAGATAACTTTGCATGAAAATTCTAAAACAAAAAAAAATATTAACATTTATTGAACCTCTATTGTGAATAGATGATAGCAAATCTGACTCGCGAATGATAAGGTGAATCTGACTTGCTGAATTCATCTCGACTTAAGGATAGAATAAATAAATGTTTTCATATGCAATAAAAATTCGAGAAATCATTTTAATCTACAATCATATCAACTTGTTGAAATCTCTATAACAAAGCTTAAACGAAATGCACCAGCAAGTAATATCATAATTAATTACTTGCTATGTTTATCGTCTTACATAATTAATTACATGCTGTGTTTATCGTCTTACATAATTAATTACTTGCTGTGTTTATTGTCTTACATAATTAATTACTTGCTGTGTTTATCGTCTTACATAATTAATTACTTGCTGTGTTTATCGTCTTACATAATTAATTTCTTGCTATGTTTATCGTCTTACATAATTAATTACTTGCTGTGTTTATTGTCTTACATAATTAATTACTTGCTGTGTTTATCGTCTTACATAATTAATTACTTGCTGTGTTTATCGTCTTACATAATTAATTACTTGCTGTGTTTATCGTCTTACATAATTAATTACTTGCTGTGTTTATCGTCTTACATAATTAATTACCTGCTATGTTTATCGTCTTACATAATTAATTACTTGCTATGTTTATCGTCTTACATAATTAATTTCTTGCTATGTTTATCGTCTTACATAATTAATTACTTGCTATGTTTATCGTCTTACATAATTAATTACTTGCTGTGTTTATTGTCTTACATAATTAATTACTTGCTGTGTTTATCGTCTTACATAATTAATTACTTGCTGTTTTCGTCTTATGTGATTATTTGCTTGCTGGTTTATTTGTTGTTTTTTTTTTGGCCCACTCGAACAGTTGTCGTCTTCCAAATGTAAATAGGTAAGTTTCTTGTTATTACGTTAAAAAACACTCTTTTAGTAAATCCTTTTCACTTGTCCCCCAGTGGAATAGTGGTAAGTTTACGGATAACAGCGCTAATTCCCCACGGTGGAAACAGCAGATAGCCTAATATGGCTTTGTTTAAACAACAACAACATTTTTACTTATTATTTTCATGTTTATTTCCATTGTACTTATTTTTACTAAACCATTTTGTTTTTTCTTAGGCCTGATATGGCATGATGGTTAGGGTGTTCGACTTGCAATCTGCGGGTCGGGGGATCAACCCCCGTCACGAAGATGCTCGCCCTTTCAGCCGTGGGGGCGTCACAGTGTGAGATCAATCCCACTATTTGTTGGTAAAGACTACCCCCAGAGTTGGTGGTGGATAACGTTGATTAGCTGCCTTCCCTCTAGTTTATCATTTCAAAATGGTACGGCTAGCGTACATGAACTTCAACCCTTTTTACATTACAAAATCCCACATTCTCTTTTCCGTAATATTTTATTCTTACTAAACCCTATTTTAAGTAGTGTCTTTATCTAATATTTCTTTTTTCACAGTGTTTTTACACAAGCTAAATCCTCATTTTCGCAGTGTCTTGCTCATCCTTCTTAACCAATATTCTTACTAATTCCTAATTTCCACAATGTCTTTACTCTCATTAAATCCTCATTCTTGCTCGTTTTTTCTATATTTCTTTACTTTTATCAAATCCTCTTTCCCACACTGTTTTAATTCTTACTAAATCCTATTTTCTGTAGTGTCTTTACGCATACTAAATTTTTCAATGTCATTTTATTTATGTCATAATCTTTTCTCATACTAAACCTTCGTAATGATTGAGTGTGTCTGTACTCAAACTAAACTGGGCCGAGCGTAGCCCAGTAGTTAGCGTATTGGACTATAGATCTGGGTGTCAAGCGCATTCCGTTACTGCCAAAAAAATTGCACTTCACGCACTTTGGGGACGTTATAATGACAACAGTCAAATCCAACTCTTCGGCCAGACAAGAATAGCCCAAGAGTTGGCGGTGGGTGCTATTAATTACCTGCCTTCCCTCTAGTTTATCAGTTCAAAGTTAGGGACGAATAGCGTAGATAGCCCTTGAGTATCCTTATTTAAATATCCAAAAACAAACTAAACTATCTATTTTGCGGTCTTGTTACTCTTACTAAAACTTAAGCGCGGACGCACACAGCGTGGTCACAAGTAAATAGACACCACCTTTTCAGAAAAAAATGAAATTTTTCAGTCATATTCATATGAATTGATATATTTATAATTTAAT